TAGAGCCAGAGACACAGAGAGATTCAGAATTAGAGAGACATGGAGAGACATTCATAGAGCCAGAGACACAGAGAGATTCAGAATTAGAGAGACATAGAGAGACATTCATAGAGCCAGAGACACAGAGAGATTCAGAATTAGAGAGACATTCATAGAGACAGAGACACAGAGAGTTAGAGAGACATAGAGACATTCATAGAGACAGAGACACAGAGAGATTCAGAGAATCAGAGAGACAAATAGATTCAGAGAGCCAGAGACACAGAGAGAGTGAATCACAGACACAGAGGGACGGGGAGATCCCCAGAAGGAGATTCACAGAGCCAGAGAGACAAACAGAGATTGGGTCAGAGAGAAAGGGACAGAGACAGAGATAGACAGAGAAGAGAGAAGGGAGAGAGACTGAGTCATAGACAGGAGAGAGGCCCCCCTAGCGTCAGAGAGAGAGAGATCAACAGAGCCAGAGAGGGTCAGGCACAGAGAAACAGATGGAACCAGAGAGATATCGGAAGAGACAAACAAAACCAGAGACGAGTTGCAGAGCCGGAGGAAGGGAGAGAGACAGAGACAAAGGCATCTATAAAGACAGGGGTGGAGGTGAGGAGAGAGAGGGAGAGACAGGGGCAAGCATTTAGAGAGTGACCCCCAGAGAGGAAGACAGAGATGAACTCCCAAAGAGATCAAGTCGCAGAGGGAGGGAGAAACAGAGTCGCAGCCTTAGAGAGAAGAGAGATTTACAGAGCCAGAGAGACAAATAAAGACAGGGAAAGGAACAGACTCAGGGAGACAGGGGTGGAAGAATGTATCAGACATAGAGGGAGAAACAGAGGGAGACTGACTCACAGTCAGACAGACCAAGACCCCGAGAAGGACCACGACACCAAGACCCAGAGATGGCGACAGATACAGATGGAGACACACAGCCGAGGAAAGAGACATAGAAAGAAATAGAAACAGCATTTCTCGGAGACAGGGAAAAGAAAACAGATCCACTGAGAGGCAGAAAGAGAGACACGTGGAGAAAGGTCGCTCCAGGAATAGAGGGAGAGGGACAGAGGTCACAAGAAAGGTACTCGCGGGCAGAGAGAGCCACACAAATAATGGAGAAGCCAAGGGGAGAAATAAAGACTCAGCCGGCATCAGAGAAGGCGAGAACCCCAGCAGCCTCCCTGTCCACTGCTGGACCCCTAGCGTGGAGCATAAAGTTTGTTGAAGGAAGGAGAGGGGCAGGGTCAGACACAGGGACCCCAGGGCGCCCACAGGACACACGAGGCACCCTAGTGGGGGAGGAACACGGGGCAGGATGACAGATTGCAGGGTAGTGGGGGGGGAGCCAGGCTCAGAGGATGCCCCTCCCTCCAGCCAGCCCCCGGAGTGGGTGTGTGCACGTGTAGGGGGCAGGGAGGGAGGACATTTGTCCCGTGTCTCCGGGAGGGGAGCGCCTTTAAGCCGAAACCCCGCCCTCTCTGTCGTCCTGGCAACGCCTCCCCCTACCCGGGGCTCCCACATTTCAGCAGGTGCCGGAGCTGGAGCTCCCACCGCCGCCGCCCGTGCCTCCGGCTCCCGGCGCTGTGCCTTTGGCTCTTCCTCCCCACTCGCCCGCTCCCCCTGGCGGAGCCGGCGCACCCGGGGGTGCCGCTCCCTGCCTGGCGCGCTCCGCACCTGGAGGTGCCTTGCCCCTCTCCTACCCACCTCGGAATTTCCCTGT